CTAATCATGTTTTGGGTGTACTATTCCTTTAAATGTGAAAGTCACTTGCCCAAAGGGCAATTGGTAAAAATCCTTCACGTCAACCCCTGAAGTAATAGTTGCATTAACCATACAAGTAAAAGGAGTTTTATGGGGCCCTCAGGAACTTGGGGAATTGCCTAGTTTGGCTAATTGTAAATCCACCCCTGACTCTGAATTAATTTGCAGTCAGGGAGGAGATTTTTACAGATTTTTCACTGTATTTTCTACTCAAATCAGTTCATTTCATTCTTTCCATGGAATCCCTTTTCTCTGTAATTAGCTCATGACACTAGGTGGCATCCAACAGCTGCTGTAAGGGATTCTGACCAACCCCTCTGCAGCCAGACGTGTCTGCGCAGATTTAGCCAGCAAAGCAGGGGATTTCCTCACACAAAGTGCTGCAGAAAGGAGATGCGCTTTGACAGCAGGTGTTGCAGTCAACAAACCAGGACAGATTCACACAGAAACAGACCCGAAAAAGAGACTAAACGATGAAGCTGGACGCCCCCATAATATGCAAATCCCAAACCCCCGCACAGCTGCTTGCAGAGCAGCCATTCCTTTGCGCCGACTCCGCCCCCTGTACGTAACCAAATCAGTGACGTAGGCATGCCTTACTTTCCTACTCTCTGCAAAGCATCATCAAAATCACCATCCATCAAGAATCGCTTCACCCCCCCTTCCCCATCTCCTTTCTCTCTCTCTCCCCCCTGTATCTCCCTCCTCCTCCTTCGTTGTCTTTTAAATGTAACTTCTGAATGATCGGGAGAGCAGGGAGCGTCTGGATAGCCTGGTCTGGTGACTCCATCTTTGCTGAAGGATCTGCACGCACGGCGGCATTCTGCTCATCAAAGCCGGACGCACAGATGAGAGGGGATCCATTTGTGGAATAACGTCGCGCGCCCGTGAGGATTTCGGCTCTTTTGATTGATTTTATTTTATTTTATTTTATTTTAACCTCCTGGATGTTGCAGCGCATCACATCGCTTTAAGTGAATCCGTTTGATTGGATTTATTGGACTCTTTATTCTAAGCCTCATAGTATTATTGTTATCGGTTATTGGTGATCTAATGATCTCTGTTTTAAAATGTCATTTTATCAAATAATGTCGAAGTTTATTTGAGGTATTAAAGGCAGAAGAGCGGTGCGCGTTAGAAATTAGGTTTTTAAAAGGAAAGTTTCGTGCGCAAAGTTTTGGAGACGGTCGGTATGGCTATGGTCGCGTGGAGAAGCACGGAGGGCGTCGGGGACTCCCTGGGGACTCTCTCCTCCCCGGTGTCCCAAGTGGCCCCTCTGTCTCTGCCTGGAGAAATGACGGGACACATGAACGCATCCGCCGCTCTGGAGATCCCACAGGCAGGAGCGGCTCAGGCACCGCCGGCGCCCAATCTATCGGGCACCCCAGCCGCGTCCACGTCCACCAGCACCCCATCCACCAATAACAACAACACGTCCTCCTCCTCCTCCTCCTCTTCCTCCTCTTCCATGGACAAACAGCAAAGCCAGCAGATCGAGTGCATCGTGTGCGGGGATAAATCCAGCGGGAAGCATTACGGACAGTTCACCTGTGAGGGATGTAAGAGCTTCTTCAAACGCAGCGTGAGGAGGAACCTGAGCTACACCTGCAGGGCCAACAGGAACTGTCCAGTGGATCAGCACCACCGCAACCAGTGCCAGTACTGCCGCCTCAAGAAATGCCTCAAAGTTGGCATGAGGAGGGAAGGTAGGGCCTGCTGGTAGACACCCACATAATGCTCACGTTATTTCATTCTGGACTTTGATATATATATAAAAACAACTTTAAGAGCTTTAAAAAGTTTGTTTAGTAATTATTTTAATTTTCAATAGATGATTAGCGTTTTTAGATTATTTCTCCCAAACTTAAAAAAAAAAAAATCCCAAAACATTAAGAGATTTTAGTTGTTTTGTATTTTTTTTCCTAAAGATTTCTTCAATCTATTTCAAAAATAGCATTTTATTCATTTGGGAAAAAAAGAAAATAGGTTGAATCAGTTTATTATTATTTCAGAATTGAATATTCTCAACTTTTGTTTAAACTAGCATTTGTTAGCATTAGTTACTCTGGCCTGTGATGTTATGTTCGCATAATCTGTGTCTAAAATATATTTTCATGCTTTTGCATCATGTTATATATTGTTTATGTTTTTTTTTTAAATGTATCTTGTATTTGTCAGATTTTAATTTTAAACTTTAATATCCTTATGTAAATGCGTCCTGCTTTAATGTGAAGAAAACTTTTATTTAAAAAATATATTTTAGAGCTGTATTTATACTTCTTGGGGGGGAAGATACAAATGGTAACAAATTTTGTTTCTAATATAAATCTCCTTAATGCAACATTATTGTACTGTAGCATTTGTTAGTTATTTGGACTCTAAAACATTGGATTAAATGTATTTGATTTATTTTAATTTGCTTCTAAAATATGACTTATTAGTTTTTATGATAGAGCCAGTAGATTTAATCAGCAGAGGTGTGCAGGTTAATAATGTCCAAGCTAAGATAATGAAACATGTTCCATGTGCTATCCGTGCTGCCTTCACGGGCAGCTGGGTAAAACAAAGAAGGAACCTATCGATGTAAGACATTTTTTATTCGCCGGTGAGACTGGAATATTTTTGGATAATTTTCATTGTTTATATGTTTTTAACTTTAAATAGCGTGCCTGGAAAAAAAAATAAACAAAATCATTATTTATGCTTGGGCCTTTGTGTCTACATCTATAATGTAAGCAGGTTGAAGGCCCAGCTGCAGACCAGCATCCTGCTGCTATGCTCAAACTAGCTGCACAACATCAACTCAAATAATCTTTTTTAAATTAGGATCATTTTCAAATCAGATGTACAAAACCTTAAATATACTTGTTCATGTAAGCTAGAATAAAAAGAAAGTTTTCTATTTTTCTATTTCTACTCTAGTTTATGACGAGGTTACACTAAAAAAAATGTATTTACTTAATCCTACTTAGTTACTTTATCACTATTGTTTTATGTTCCACATTGTTAATTTAATTAACTAAATATGATTAATTAAATGTTAAAAGCGGTTGCATTATTTTTTTTTTCAGTGTATTGAGGTTTAGGCCTATAGAAACCAGAAAGCGCAGGCCTTCATATAATCTGGATTTTTCTACATCAGCAATCTATATGAGATATTTCTGTCCAGAAGCTCTTAAATTTAAATGTTGGTAACTTTTAGTGATAATTAGTAATTAATAGACAGATGTTGCTCTAACAGATGAGGCTCCTTCTTTAAATGTCATCGCTTTAACAGCTGGATGTGATTTATCTGCTGCTTCTTCTTGCAGCCGTCCAAAGAGGCAGGCTGCCCACGCAGTCCTTCCACGGCCAGTTCGCGCTGACCAACGGAGACCCCCTGCAGTGCCACTCCTACCTGTCGGGGTACATCTCTCTGCTGCTGCGGGCTGAACCCTACTCCACCTCCCGGTTTGGCTCCCAGTGCCTGCAGAACAACAACATCATGGGCATAGAGAACATCTGCGAGCTGGCGGCGAGGATGCTGTTCAGCGCCGTGGAGTGGGCCCGGAACATCCCCTTCTTCCCGGACCTGCAGGTCCCGGACCAGGTGGCCCTCCTCCGCCTCACCTGGAGCGAGCTGTTCGTGCTGAACGCCGCCCAGTGCGCCATGCCGGTCCACGTGGCTCCGCTGCTGGCCGCCGCCGGGCTGCACGCGTCCCCGATGTCCGCTGACCGGGTGGTGGCCTTCATGGACCACATCCGGGTTTTCCAGGAGCAGGTGGAGAAGCTGAAGGTGCTGCAGGTGGATTCAGCGGAGTACAGCTGCATCAAGGCCATCGTGCTTTTCACCACAGGTAAATATTCTCCTTCTGCACAACTGTTTGTTTTTTGATAAAATATAATATTTATTTATATTATTCCTTTTTTATGAGTAATTAAACCATTTATTAGACATTACTACAATCGTTCTGAAATAAACAGAATCAGTTGATTCCAAAAAATGAATTGATTTATTTGAATCAACTGGAATATTTAAAGCTATGCAGTTATTTTCAACGTTGCTCTTTAAGGATACACTGAAAAAAATAATCTAACAGTTTTTAACATTTACCTAATCACATTTAGTTACTTTAACACAATTATTTTCATTCCCTCCACTGCTAACATGAAACAATTTTCTAAAAGTAACTAAATATGATCAAGTAAATGAGAAAAACGGTCGCATTATTTTTTCAGTGTACTTTCTTTTTTTTTTTTTTTAGATAATTAAGCTTTTTTAAGATATCTAAAACATAAAAACCCAACAGTCTAAAGAATAACAACTTTCAACATGATCTCACGACCTGAATCATTATAAAATATCCAAATGTAAAAAATCCAAACTTTTCATTCTGACATGTTTTAGAGTCTCATTTCTAAATCTAAAAGGTAATCTATAGAGTAAAAGATTAGGGTGATGCCCAGGAGGCCTTCCAACCTGAAATACTTGGAGCTCATCACTAAAGATTGGGGCAACTTATCAAAAACATGCAAAGGTTTAGTCTGGAGATATAAGAAGTGTTAGATTGCTGCAAAGATTGCTTTATATATATATATATATATATACAATCTAATATATATATATATATATGTATGTATATGTATATATTTAAAATAATTCAATATAAACTAAATATAGTTTATATAAAACTAAATAACTTAGTTAATATATATATATATAGTTAAACTAAACTTGTTAATGGAATAAGGATTAATTGATATCAAATTCTAATGCGTTTAAATTATGTTGTGCTTCTTATATAGTGATGATATTAAAATAGTATTTTTCTTTCCTTTATTTATCTTGCTTTAGCAGCCTGTGAAGGTCTACCATGTTTTATTTGTCAATTTAAGATTTATGAGGAAATAAGAGAACTCTGAGAAGCTCTCTGCAGCATCCAAAAAAGATTTCTAAATGTAAAAATAAAAATATATCTCTGTAAATCTTCTAGGAGATTCTGTTGTTTGGGCTTCTATATTTTTTGAAAATACAGTTATTTTATGCTTATTCTATCACAACAATGATCGTTCTTTATATGTATTTATATCTGTGTGTGTGTGAGTGTACAATGCTTTAATTTGTGCACAGTAAAGTCTTAGTTCTGATGGAGCCTTTTGAGCATGGATGATGCCTGAGCTGCAGGATTGAAAGAATGAGCAGCAGCAAAGTGAAAAATGAAAGAAGCTCCTCTATCTAGGTCTATTTTAGTCCCCATGAGCACATCAGAGCACGTGTCTTTAAACTGGGACACAGTAGCCTTTCTTTAACCCCTGCTGCCGTGCGGCCTGCAGCGCTACAGTGCAGGCGGACGGCGCTGATGTGTGCAGAGGTGCACGAAACATTTGATACAGAGCAGCAGCCCTCTGACTGAGCTGGCAAACATTGCTCTACTGTCCTTAAAGATGATTTTGAAGAATTTAGTGCAGAAGTGTTGTCGTCTTTGATCATCTAGCATTAGACTGATGATGGATGAATGTTTTTTTTTTAACCACCCACATCAGAAATGATTGAACCTCTGCACAATGTTAGCTGACTGTGTTTCAGTAGCTGTTATTTTTGTAATCCTGCATTAAAAATATGGGGCATTCTAAAAATGCTCATTTCCATTGCATTTTAAGGCTTTAAAAAGACTGAATCCTTTTATTTTTACCCCGTTGGAATCATCTGAGAGCTGAGATCTTCCAAAATTGATAATCAGACAAATCCAAAGTCAACCCCCTCCCCCCCTTTGTTGTCTGCTGAACCACTGGCCCTCATCCGATCCCTGTTGTTCCTCTCAACACAGATGCTTGTGGCCTGTCGGATGTAGCTCATGTGGAAAGCCTCCAGGAGAAGTCCCAATGCGCCCTGGAGGAGTACGTAAGGAGTCAATATCCAAACCAGCCCAACAGATTCGGAAAGCTGCTGCTTCGCCTGCCCTCCCTGCGCACCGTCTCCTCCTCGGTCATTGAGCAGCTCTTCTTCGTGCGCCTGGTGGGGAAGACCCCCATTGAAACTTTGATAAGGGACATGCTGCTTTCTGGCAGCAGCTTCAGCTGGCCTTACATGCCCATCCAGTAGAGGAAGACACAGAAAGGCAGCAGTGGAACTGAGGGTTTATTCTCCATGTAACCTAGAGATCTCTGCAAGAGGATTGAGATTATTACAGGTGATAAGTTCGTGTAATTTTACTAAATGATATCAGTGGTCTGCCTTATTTAAAAAAAAGGGTCCTGAAAGAAACGAAGAACATGAAATTATTTGAAATCAGAGGCAGAATATAAACCAGACTCGACCCAAAAGGACTGCTTATTTTGGAGATTTTTTTTTTCTTTTTGTCGTTATGATGACCTCTTGCAGCATACGGACGCTCTATGATTTCCTTGAAATAACAAACGATATTTATTGGACTTGTGTGTATATTTATCGTGCTTGTAAATTATGTTTTCGGATCCGTTCCTTTCTGAATGTTATATGTATCGTTTTGCCCACAGTCGATGAGAAAACTGCAGGGAGCCTCTTGTGTGTGTTAATCTCTTTTATCCTGTTTTTTTTTTTCTTTATTGTCTATGTTTTTGTTGATTTCATACTTTCCAGAAAAAAAAAGCACTTTGGAGTAAATGAAAATATTAACAGCGGGTGTTTTAAAACCGATTCCTTCCCTGCTTCCATACTACAGCTCTGGTTTGATATTATGAATTTGTATTTTTATTTTTAAGAAAATCCAACGCCAAGTATTGCATTTCTTGTAGTTTTATTTCTTTTTTTTACAGAAACTGCTCTGTTTTCTTTTTTACAAAAATAATCTCACACTTTAATTTATCCATTTTGATTTTAAAAAATTTATTTTTTTTGTACCATACTGTGCAGATATGACTTTATTTGCCTTCTAGAATGATCTTAAAACCTCCAGATTCGTTGGATTTTACAGATTTTGTTCAGTTTACAACTCTTTGTTTGAGACGCTAAAGCTAAAGATGGTGACGCGGGGAGAGGCTGACTTTCATGCTTTTGTACGGGCTTCATATTCAGACCTTGCATCCCGTCGTAGTTCATTTCACACTCAGACAAGCAATGAAAGCAGGAGATTATTGATGATTACATTACCAAATAATATAGTTTCCAGGAATGTTTTTTAAATAATTTTATTTCTGTATTGGCTGTCTCAGAGATTTTTGAAGAGCACTTGGTTTGTTCACACACCTTACCAGGCCGACACTAAAAGACTTGATGGGAAGTCATGCTTTTACATGAGTCACTCACTTGCACAACCTGACCACTGCAGGGTACACTGCTCCTTTCAGAGGGTACGAATGTGTGTGTTTCCTTGTGTTTGCTTCTATTTTTTTTTGCTGTTTATTTGTTTTTTTGACAACCACTCTAATGTACTGTGAAAGTTAACATATTGGTACCTTATTAAATTATAACTCAAGATTTATACATAAAGCCTACTTTGTTTATTTCACTTTGTGTTGATCTGATCATGTTTATGAGGGCAGCGTCTGCCAAGTAGCTCATATTGTGACTTCTACCTTAAGTTAATACCTGTTTTCACAGAATCTTTCAAATATTTCCTGGATCTAGACGGTGATTCGCATCATCACCTCATTTTAATGGAGTGGTCCTTTGACTGTGGTGAACCTTTGGTTAAAAAAAAAAGAAAAAATCATTAAAGTATGTTCATAACTTCAAATTATCCTGTATCCTACACAGACAGACAGACAGACAGAGACACAAACTCCCCAAAACATGACCTCCTTGTCGGAGGTAAAAAGGGGAGGGGGCTGTTCTGGAGCCAGTTCATGTCTGTAATTTTGGCCCTTCGTTGGAGGTTTTAGTCAAACTAATTTATCCCACTGACAGTGACAGCTGCAGTTTGATGTCATGATGTGCAGATCCTCTGCAGGAGACAGAGTGACCAACATTAAAGTGGCTTTTATCAGGCTCTCATTTGCAGTCTGATAATACAGTCATTAAAATGTCATTCGTTTTATATAAAAATAGCTAATATTTGACATTAAATATTTAAAATGTTATACATTGCTCAAATTAGCAAGTTAATACGTCTTTAAATCACTTTTTCAGCATTAAAAATAAATATTTTTTGTCATTTCTTAGCTGCAAGTAATTGCAGCTGCATGGATTTATACAGTTTACATGAACACATCTGCATTTTTATCATTTCCTCCACATTAAAAAGAAAAATATGGGCCCTATATCTTTTTGTTGTTGTGGGGAAATTTCTCTCTCTCTCTCTCTCTCTCTCTCTCTCTCTCT